AATCCTTCTATTATTCTATTCTAATCCTTTACTCCATTTTTTGTTACAATTCCCTGGGATCCAAAAAGGGTCTTTTTCTATTCCATGTAATCCTAACTAAAAATGCAGCAAATAAAAAGAGCCCTTGTTTCCTCAAGGCAAGAATCATGATCAGAACTAAATAGGCACGATTTTCCTCTAGCTTTACACTAGCACCTCAATTCAAGGGGCCTGTTCTAAGACACTTCAGTGCTGAAGAACCCCTTCCATCTCAACACTAGGACAAGTCATCTGTAGTCCCTACTCCCCTTCTTAAATGCCTTTTATTCAATAACTAGTCCATATTAAAAAACGTTAACACAACAACATCAGATCTTTTTGTCATGTTAACATTAAGCATGCTAGAAGCAAATAAGCATTTAAAACATCTTAAGGCACTTGGCTTCATCCACTTTGAAATAAAAACATGCAATTCATAGCATAGTTTTAGCAGACAGTCAAGCAATTGTAGTAGTTGGTTTTTATTTTATAATGCTTGTCCATCACCGTAGACAAACTTTGGCAAAGCCCAGAATAGCACACATCTTTCTTCAAATCCAGTCCAGTATATTTGCAGATGCACAACGTGAACACAACCCTAATTTCCTCTTATAACCCTCCACATCATTCAGTTTGTCATGCACCCCTAACCAGAATTAAAAATCACCATAATGTATGGGTAGACATTTGATAAATTAAGGTAGCCCACACAGCCTTGATTGTGGTGTTTCCTGATGTTTGAATACTTGATTTTACAATATGAACATTTAAAAAAATAAGAGATGGCAGTTATGTAAAAAGGACCGTGAATGTTATATAATTACCATATTAAATACAAGTAAAAGAACACACTAGCTTCCAACCCAGTGCTCCATCCCAGAGACCAAAACAGCCAGGGCTAGCATCATTCTGCTGCTTGTTTACCTAGAGCTCAAACTTTGTGGGATAGGATATTATTCTAAACGCAGACAGAATTTCTTGAGATTTTAGCCACCAGCCTCTAAAAAGTACTATTAAACATATGCAGATGCAATTTTCAGAAGCCTACAGGCATGTTCAGATATAAGCAGATTCTCTCAGAGGCAATGAAGGGCTTTACATATATTTTTGTTTCAGATCAGGATACCATGGAATACCAAATTTGCAGACCTACCTGTAATTGCATCCCATCCTTGAGTGCAGCCATTCAGGTCAGGCCTGACCTGGACTTTACTTATTATTCCCTGGTGGAACTCCACAACTCTCCCAATCTTTCATGGTGTATTGTATCTTAGGGTCCAGTACACCAATCATGTTTAACCATCAGAGCTATCTATCTATGGTGCTGCCTTTTGGGAGCTAATGATCAGCAAGACATAGTAGTAAAGCAAATTACTTATTTTAACAAAGAGAGAAGGGATTTATCAACAAATTTTATAATTGTTTATAGGCAGCTTAAAAGCCAACCATATCATGGACAGCTACAGCCCCCAATTCTGCCTCAGTATTACTGATACTAATCTGAATTAGTTTTTAAAGAGTAGAGTTCTTTTTAAAGTGCTCTAGAGTCCTTTTCACACAAGTGTTTACAGGAAAGTGATTGCTGAGAAACAACTCACCTTGAGCAATTCTGTCTTTCCCACTTGTATTAACCTATGATCTTCTACTAATTTAAATCAGCATGTTCACATGGTAACTACTCCTCAAAACCACATCAACCTGCACTATTCAAATAACTATCAAGTAGCCACAATTCTACCAGACCATAAAGCTCCAGAAGAAATTGATAGGAAAAAAATTAAATACTGGTAAAACTAATTTACCCGCATTCCCATCACAAAAATCCCTAAGCTAAAAAAAGAAAAGTTATCTTGAAGAAATAAAAATCATGAAAATTTTTGTCCCAGGTGGTTAATTATAAATGGCTGACAATAAGGGCTTATAATGGAACAAACTTAGCAAGAGGCTACCATTTCTGCCTATAATATAAGCAACAATATCAAATCTATATGGTCCACCTTCAGCATTCTGACAAACATTGTGTCAAATAAAAGATGTCATCTGCACTACCATTATTCTTAAATTTATTTCATCATAGTCTCTAACGGTGCCTCTGGACAAGCGGAGAGGCTGCTCTGCAGACTCGATTAATCGAGTCTGTTGGAGTGTGGTAATTACTGCACTCCAGCATCATGTGTATCAGCATCTGCGCACTGAAAAATGGCAGTGAGGGCGCTTTAACTAAAGTTCATTCAACACACCCTCCCCCAGCCCCACTCTCAGAGCATGTATATAAATGCCCAAATACACTATTATGAACAGTTCTTCCCCTCTTATTCTACAGCCCCCTCTACACATTACAGATATTGTGCAATTAGGTGGTTAATTGCACAATTAACTGAACCCAACTTCCTGTGCAAGGTATGGCTTTTATCAAGCCATAAGAAGGTCCAACCAGCTATAGAGACCTTGAAAATGCATACTAACTGTAGGTGGTTGGTATCCAGCTTTAATTTGCATGTGTAGCAGGGTCTCCCCTTCAACTGGAAGCCCTGTCATCTGACCAGACCCTACGCGGCAGGGGTGTACCAGGCCCAGCTAGGGCTGGGAATCATACAACTGAGGGGACTCTCAGACCCAGCAGCTGCCAACTCTGAGTCCCAGCAGCACCCCACTGCTGCTGGAAACCACAGCAACTGAGGATGCTGGGTCCCAGGAACATGCCTTCCAGTGCCAGGACCCAGCTGGTTCCCAGAAGCCCAGGCATGGGTGCAACCTCCCAGCCCCAGGAGTTCATGAAGACCCCAGGGATGGGAGATTATGTCTGCTGTGGTCTGCCAGGCAGGAAGGGAGAAGGGGTGAAACCCCCAGTGCTGGAAGGCTGCAGCAGTTGTGATCTCCCACCCCTGCCAGTGCATGGGGTGCTCCCAGCTGTAGGAGCCTGCTTCTTGCTGGGGCAGAGCCCAGGATTGTCCTCCCCTTGAATCAACAATAAAGGTGCAATGCAATCTAATGCATGATCCCTTAATCATGCCTCCTGCCATGCCATGTGTGTGATTGTGTAAGCCACACATTAGATCCTATTGCACTTTTACCTGCATGGGCAGAGGGGGCCTAATATTGAGAAATGGTATTAAAAAACATGCATTTTATTCAAGATCAGAATCTTGTTGCATTTTACCAAAGCATTCCATTACTAGGCAGAATTATTAAAACATATTAATCTATAAATGATGGATTAAACCTTTCTGTATTAAATAATTTGATTCATTACTATTAAAAAACTCTCATTTAAAAACTAACTTTACTGCGCCTTTAGAACTCAATCCTCACCCCACCAAAGTTCCTGGGGATTTTACTACTGATATCAAAATGAGTAGAAATGGACTCCTAAAAAACTGTACCTTCATCATTTAAAAAAAAAAGAAAAAGAAAAGGATTTTAGCATTAGTCTATTCCACAAGTTTGAGAGGCAGGCAATAAAGCCCTGCTGGCTAACTTAAAAAGAAACTTTCAGACACACAACCGAATTGACTGTTAGCAAAACTGCTGGTTAGTTGTGCTACAAAGAATGAGCCAAAACTGCCTCCTAGAATGTCAGAAGAAAAAAGGAAAAAAAAAGTTATAGGTGATATTAAGGATCGTATAAACAAATGAAATATGTTCTTTAAATGTAAAACTAATTATTTCATATTAGCTTCAAAATAACATTGCTTTATGTTTTATACTCATGTTAGGGCAAAAAATATATACAACATTCCTATTATACCTAGCATATGCATAAATTATTTATTATTTGTGTTAATCAACATGATTAAAAATATAATAAAAGATGTTATCCAAATGTTCAAGTTATTCTGATTATATTTAAAATCTGATCCAAAGAAATCCTATAAGTATTTTCTTTCTACCTTTTTTTTTGTACAAGTGGAACTGTACACCATAGTTAGGGAGCTACCAAATATGCAGCAGAAGTGCGCTGTGTGGCAGCCTTAATCTTGCAGGTTTCCCTGCATTCCTCCCTGCCTCTCCCCTACCACTCACTGTTCACTCCTGATCAGTGGGGAGGCAAAATCCAGAGTTTTAAATATGGCGCCATTTTTGCCTCCAGTCACTGACTGGCCAAGGGCCCCAGTGGCCCTGCTATTTGGTGCTGATCGGCCAGGAGGCAAAAACAGCATCATATCTAAAATAGCAGTTTTCACCTCCCCACCGATCAGGAGTGAACAGCAGGGCCCCTCTGCCAATCAGTGACTGGGAGAGGCAGGTGGCACACAGAAGAAACTATGAGACAAAAGGAGCCGCCACACAGCCCACTTTCACCACGAATTCGGTAGGTCCCTAACCATAGTCCAGGACTCTGCTTACTCACGCAGATGTACTCTTCCTAACAGCTATGCATTTGACACATTCCTGAAAGCCCGTGCAAGCTCCTGCCCCATGCCAGTAAACAGCAAATAAGCATCTGATAATAAATTCTATTTTCCAATGTTCTTGTGCTGAATCAAAGTGGCAACTGCGCCAAAACAATTCCAAGTTTTTCAATTCACAGCTTTCCAATAATATCTTACATTCCTACTGACCTTACAACATGCAAGTGTCAAACAGCAACAAAGGGAATATTTTAGGAACCAAGATGAAGATTAATATATCTTCCATTCTGAGGAAATAAGTGAAATCTGTCTAATATCAAATATTTTATGTTTTTGCTTTTCAGATCATCATCTACTGACACGGCTCCTAAATTTGGGAGTAGCATGAAAGCAAGGAAAAAAGATTATCAACAAAACAGGTGAAGGAGTCAACACTGTTTTGAACCTCATTCATTTAAAGCATTTTCACTATAAAACAGAAGTATATAAAAACAGCAGTAAACAGAAGCTAGAAGACAGAAAGCAAATTTAGCCAAAGCATTGTATCAGTATTATAACATCATTAGTCAGATTGCAAACTTGCAAGTAAATTGTTACTGTTAGAGGACCATACACATTAAGTTACAATACCTGAGGTTTAGTGCATTCCTGTGAGCCAAAATGAAATGAATGCCATATAGGAGGAAAGGAAAAGATGAACATTATCAAACATGCCATAGTACATTGGACCACTATGAAGATAATGTTAAAATTATGCTATCAAGGGTCCTTGATCCCTTGTATGTTGGCTATATGTGCAAATGTGCAGTAAGCCATGCCACTATTCAGCATAATGGAGTAAGCTTTATTTATAATTTTTACAACAGTTTTCAGAGTTTTCTTTTAGAAACATCTAATAATTTCCTCAACACTTTCTTAACACTACTCAACTTCCTTCAAAAATAGTGTGACAGTTAGATTAGCTCTGTAACAATCAAATTGGACCTGTGTGAAATATTGGTAATCTTGCAACACATATTTATATTATGTGGTAACCAAGGACCTTGTATAAAATAGAAATGCAGGAAGCTAGTTTCCTCTAGAAATATACAGAGTTCATCATCTATAGGTTATTACTAAGATCTTAATGCTTGTCAACACTCATGGCCAAAACCAACCCACAAGAGGGAATAACAAAACTGCAGACTAATCCAACATACATAACCATTCTCTGCCATTGGTAATCCAATATATTCTATAAACAGCAGCCGTTTTTAAACAATATTTTAAAGTGTATATTGTTCATACTAACTTCTATATTTTGGATAACTAAAGCCTAAGAGATACTGACTGATTGATGCTCAGCACTTCAGAAAAGCAAAAGCACATTTTAACACAGATCCTAACAGTTTCAGAAAATGTACTTCAGTACTGTTTTCAAAAATATAGACTTTTTATTTAAAATTAGAAAAATGGTTTGGGAGAATCACAAAGGAGGAAGCAACATACACAAATATGAGGGACTGGGGGAAAACATTTTAAAATACAAAAACAGAAATATATTACAAGAATGTTAAGACTACCAAACACTAAAAAAATTAATTATTCTCTCATTAAAATTTGCTCAGCTTAATGTTTTCCCTACAAACCATATCAATTAGCTACTTTAATTTGTATTTTTTTATCTTTTAAAATCAACCAGTTAACTCACAGTTTCTTAAAGGTTTTACTGACTATTTGGCAATCTCTTTCAAACACTGCAGGATCCCCCTCAGTGTTTTTCCCAATACATTTTAAAAACTCATTATAAATTTAAACAATAAAATGATAAACAATGAACTGTTGCTCTTAATACTATAGGTAAAGCTATATGCCACTATATGGATCTAAAATATAAAATGTATACAACTGGTGTGGACCTACTGCAAACAGCACTATGTCAAGTCTAGTTATAGCTTTTTCCCCAACAACAGATTATCACACTAAAGTTGTTGATATAGGTAAGGTATGTATGTGTTTAAAGAAAGCAAGCAAAAAAAAAATCCTTCCTATACTTAAAACACTCACACACTCAAGCAAGTATACCTATAAAGATGGCTGATAATCAACCAGTAACAAATATCATCTCTTGAAACTGCCAAAAAGTTATATAGAAGAGCCAAAGGAAGCGACTCAATTATGGAAGTTGTACTAAATTGGAGAAAGTCAAAAAACTGAGCTTAAAAACTGAACTATTGAAAGCTGTCTGTTGTATAAACAAAATACATAAAGTGTTGATGTAAGATATATTTATTCAACTTGTGAGGAAAACCCTCTAATTAGCAAATGTAATCAAACATCTGCACACTTGCAGTCATACACTGATTTTAACAGGGAATTGGCAACAAGTAAAAAGATAAGGGCGGGAGGGAAGGAAATGTATAAAAAAAACAAAAACAACCTTCTATTTTAGATCAGACAACATTTTCAAAACATTAAGGCCACAACCTTCAAAACTCTTTCACACACACACACAGAACAACTTTATACACAACTTGTCTCAATATGATTAAATGCGCATACAGTTACTTATATGCAAACTAGTGTGTTTTTGCATGTCTGGGGACATAAGCAATTGAGTATGGGAGCCAATAACTCTTTCAAGTGTTTTGGATACTGCTGACATTAATACCAAAACTGATGACACTGGTCCAGTAGATCCTTGCTCAATTTAAAAAAAAAGATAATGTATTTTGTCAAACAAGTTTTAAAGTATTATCTTCCTTTCATCTTGGAGAAAGGCTTCCAATATTTAAAAGTATCCACATTTTAAAGAAAATCTCTGATTTAATGCTCTCTTATGAAGGACAGACTAGAGTAGTTCATTCAGATCCAAAAATACAAAGATTCAGATTGAAACTTCTGGCCTCATGCCAGTCATCAATAAAAGTTAGTTTAATATTCTGAGGTCTGGATCTCATGTAGAGAATTAAGCTAAAATCATGGAGTGGGTCTACCACAATGGAACACAGACCTTTACAGAAAATTGTCACTATACATAAGCATGAATGCTTTGATGATTAGGCTCATGAACACTGAACAACAAAATATTTCTATTACAATCTATTATTGAAGAGAAATTTGAATCGCATGCTTCAGTTAATGGGTATGTTTGGCCAATGTCAAAAATTAGTGGAATATTGAAGAGAGATGCATTTTCCTCACGTCAGCATAGCTGGCTGCACATTCATTGTTGTTACTGTTCTCAACATTTCATTCTGAACTATGATGCAAATACACACATGCTCACACATACAGAGCCACAGTCACTGCTATCCTAAGCAAACTCTTCCACAGAATTGAACTTGCTTATGCCAGCAGTAAATCTGGCCTTTTGAGAGATTATTTTTGTTAAATAAATTTCCCCTTGTCATATTTCTTAAAATCTAAATGTGGATAGGTTACCGTATGATATCCTCTAGGTAAAGGTGGCTTCCCCACAGGATAAGGATCCACAGTGTCAATAATTGTTTGTCTCTCTCCTTTTTGGTTGATTTTTCTAAATCTCCTTCGGGACTGTCTATGAGATGCTTGGCGTTGGAAATATTCTTCATTTTCATCCATATAGTCCACCTATAATATATAACATTATAGAAATAAAACAAAAGCATATGGATGACCTCTTTTCTTCTGCTTAACCATATCCAAAAAAGTTTTTAGACCATCCTATATAATATGTTCATTGCTACTGAACATACCCCTTTTAGTCTGAGGTTTGGTTTATGAAAGGATTGAAATCTGTACTAAAAAAAAAAAAAAAAAAAAAAAAAAAAAAAAAAAAAAAAAAAAAAAAAATAAAAAAAAATCAAATGTCTAGAAGGTTGAGGAAAAAAAGGAACCATCACTATGAAGAAATTTAATAAGTGGATACTTGGTTATATAACTGACTTGTTCTATTAAAAATGAACATCCCTTTCTCTTTCCATTTTAACTCCTAACATAGGACAATCACTTCAGTATTGTACACTGAAAAATGAAGCCCTCCTATGGGAAAGAACTTGTAGCTTTCCTGATGACTTCAATAGGCCACCTGGGACCTCCCAAACCCACCCTGTGGGAGCAGCTTCACTCATCAGCTGGCAGCACTGTTTTCATTGCTTATTTTAAATATTTTGAAACCTTTAAGGAGGATTTTTCATAGAAAAAATAAAATTTAAGAAGTGGTGCTTATATGAAAAGCAATTTAATTTGTATTAGTAGCTTGGGG